CCTGTGTAATATCAGGATTTAGCCTTCTGATTATGTAATACAAGAAATGGACTAGAGAGAACAGGCGGAGAGGAATCTGCTTACACTGTAATATCAAATAAAGCTGGATTAAAGAAACTCCGCCCTTTAGTTGTGCCTAATGTTGGCAGCAAGATATGCAAGTGGTAAAGTTGACTGTGAATTTTGCTGGCAACTCATACTTTGTCTAACTTTTGTGAACCTTGTGTATAAAGTCTGGCAAATTTTTTTAATTTGAATTCTGCCTCTTCTTCCATGTTGTAAAGAAGCAAAAGCATACACACTGCGTGCCTTACCAAAGGTCAAGCAACTTCTGGATATGTTTAATTCTTGCCTAAATGTACAGGTCATATTGAGATATGATTTGCTTATGACAAAAAAGAAGCAGCTAGATTCTAAGATATGCATTGTTTCTCTAGAAGGTTTTTTGTAGCATATGTTGTAATTAGTACTGACTCAAGATTAAGCAGGTCTCTAAGTGTAATGGAAACAGTGTCATTTATTATCTGAAAGGGCATGGCAATAAATGAAATTGATTTTTTTTTTAATTTCAAATTATTTGAAATTACTCTTTCAGGTAAGGGAGAGGTTACGAGTAGCACTTGAAAGATGTAGCTTATTGGAAGAAGAACTAGGTACTACACATAAAGAGGTAAGCTTTTTTTAAAAAAAGTCTTTGTGTGCATTGTGGGTGTTTAGTCAATATTTGTACACAGTAATTTATTAAGTTATTAAGGTTCACATTCACTTCTTATTTTTTACTTCCCCTTCCCTCCCCGCCCCCCCCCATGGGATAACTCTATTTTTTAACTTAGTCACTTTGAAAGTGTAGGAAAGGAAAAACAAAAAAACCCTAACTCCCATACCACTACCCCCACACCCTCCAAAAAATCGCAACAAAAGTTGTTCCTGTGGCTTTAAAATAATAAATTTTTGGGTTGCAATGCCATAAGTTTTTGAGTACTTGTACCATATGTTATTAATGCGTACCTTGCAGTAGAATCAGTAATTGTCGGTTTGCTCCTTTGCTTTGCAGCTGTTCCTTGTATTATTAGTGAGAAAGGACTTGAAACATATGTATATAAACTTTTCTTTTCTTTTAGTTAATGATTCTGAAAGAGCAAAATAATCAGAAGAAAACACTTCCAGATGGGATGCTGGATATAAATCATGAACAGGAAAATACACCAACTACAAATGGGAAGGTACAGCTATTTACTTTTAGCTGATGTCCAATTTTTTAAAAATTAACTATAATATTTTAATTTTAACCTATAATAAAATATTTTTGAGTGATGATTTAATTAAAAAGTTTCAGTTACTGCAATTTCAACTTTTGCAATCTATCCAATAATAAAATTATTTTGGGTCTGGGGTGTTTACAGGTAAGTAACAGTTTGTTTTTCAAGTCTCTGTGTAACATGCAAATACTTCTTTTCCCCCCTCCCGTTTAATAGCGATCCTCTGATGGTTCCTTATGCCACGATGAAAACCTTGCTAAAGTGATTGAACTCCAAGACATCATAGATAAGCAAAACAAAGAGCAGACACAAATGAAAGAACGTCTTACTGCTTTGTCTAGCAGAGTAACAGAGCTGGAAGAAGATCTGGACACAGCTAGAAAAGACTTAATAAAATCTGAAGAAATGAATACAAAGTTACAGAGGGATGTACGAGAGGTGAGGAATAAACTTTCAAAATTTGGGTAGTTGCAAATGCAACTGCTTTATAACATTTCAGTGTCAGTTACATTTTTGTGCTTTTGAATGCCTTTGGTTTGATAGGTGAGAAGAAAATTGTTTGGACCATGATGGTGCTATTTTCTTATTTCAAAGACCAGTTGCATATGAAAATTTGTCTTCAGAATAAATCTATGACTAACTATGTACTTCACAAATATATTAAGTTAGAGATGTAGCATTGCAAACTTTAACATGTTCTTGAAAAGATGCTTGATCTTGTCAGAAATGCTAATCTTATTTGTGAAGTTTAAATTTTTTATTTTTAAAGATGTATGTGGTTGAAGAATCGCTGTAATTTCAGTGGTGTGATTGACAGGTCCTGTTAATGATGAGTCACTGATCTCCAAGGTCCTATCTATTGCAGTGTACTGTATCCTTATTAAATCGAAAGAGAGCGTGCTTAAATCCAAGTACACTCTCTGACCATCCCGGAAAGTAAAGATTTGCTGTGTTTGTGCCATCATAGCATATAAGTAGCAGATCTGTGGTGTAATATAATAAAGACTAGACTTTTTAAGTATTCACTTCAAAAAAAAAAAAAAAAGTCATTGAGCTTGTAAGCCTAAGTGAGACTATTCTTTCTACTTCATTTTTTTTACTGAGAGAAATAACAGTATATCTGATTTTTTTTTATTAATTATTTTTTGTTTGTGGGTTTTCCCTCCAGTTTAATCACTAAGTAATTATCCTTTATATTCTAAATTCTGTCTTGTGTCTTGCATAGACTATGGCCCAAAAGGAAGACATGGAAGAGCGAATTACAACTCTTGAGAAACGCTACCTCGCTGCACAACGTGAAGCTACATCTGTGCATGACCTCAATGATAAACTTGAAAACGAAATTGCCACTAAAGACTCCATGCATCGACAGGTTGTAAATTGAACTACGATAAAAGTACATTTAGCTCAGCATAAAACTAATGGAAATAATTAATGTTCATACTGTACTAAAGCACTTTGCTTTTAGGAAGATAAATATCATCTATAATGTGCTATTGTTAGCGATTGTTTTTTAGTAACTGGAGGAGTGCATTGTACAGAGTTTTACCTTGGGAATGAAGATGAGGCAGTGTACTGGAGAGAGGAAATGTTTTTGAGTGTTTTAGTGCACTTGCTCATGGTACAGGCAGGGCTGTTGTCCCTGTTAATTGTGGATTTTTAAATTATTCTATGTGTATCCAAGCATCTGTAGTTTCATGTGTGAAAATTACTAATTCTAAGCTAAAACAGTTTTAAAATTTGTGTAGTGTGTAGTGATTTTTATAACCTATAATAGAAGTAAAAGTTGCCTTACCGTGGGAGGAAATCTGACGTGTGTTTGACATGAAGTATTCAGACTTAAAACCCGGAATGGTTGTTTAGCCAATCACTTTCTAACTAGAGGAAGCCAGGCAACTCTTCGTCAACTAGAGAAGTGCCTTTCAGTATAATTTTTAAAAGGAAGTTTTACACACGTTGAATAAAAATAAATTTTGCAGTAATATGTGTAGTGTTACCTAAAATAGGAAGGATTTTTTTCCTTGATGTAACTCAGTCTTAGCACAGCCTTGACATTGAAAATTCACAACTTGCTCTATGCTGCTTCCCATACTGTACCTATGTTTATTTGGTGTTGTAGTTGCTTTCAGAATGCACAAAATTTGCCTGCAGAAAAAAAAAAAATTGTAGAGAAAAAAGTTCTCTCATGTAATGAAGGGGAAGATGCAACATCTTTGGTTATGAAATCAGTTTTGGGCAGTTTGTTCTCCATAGGTCTAGTAAAGGCAGTAAGCTGCATCCTCATGTCCCTCTTCATGAAAATGAATTATCATTTTAACACTAAACATTTGCTGGTCATAATTCTCTGTAGAGTGAAGATAAGAACAGGCAGTTGCAAGAACGATTGGAACTAGCTGAGCAAAAGCTGCAGCAGACTTTGAGAAAAGCTGAAACTTTGCCGGAGGTGGAAGCTGAGCTGGCACAGAGAGTTGCAGCACTTTCAAAGGTGAGTCAATTGGACAGTGTCCTCAAGACTCTCTTCTCTGGTGTCCTGCTACAAGAAATCTGTTCTTAAAGTGTTGGGTTTGTTACACTGTGTTTCTGTTTTTCCTCTAACTAGTTCAGAAAATGTTTCTCCTTTGTTTTCTGTGTTTTCTGTTCATCTCTATGAATACACCCTAATTTACTTTTAAAAATTTTTGCTCTTTGGAACTTGAGCGTGTTTTCTGTTAGCTCTATTACATTACAAAAATGTGTCTCTGAATATTATTTTGTTGCTTCTTATTAAAATTCATTCAATAATAGGCATAAAGTCTTCTAAAACAAGAACTGTTTCTGAAGGGGAACCCCAGATTTCTTCCACTGTTTACCAAGTGAGGAACTTGGGGGGAAAGAGCAGTAATGGTACTCATTAAAATTTTTAGAAGGCTGCAAATGAATAATGAAGTGTGAAGAATTATATATAGTTAACTACAAATGAGCCTTTTCAAGTCTGTGTTTGTGTGCTTTCTCAAGTCTCAGTTTCATTTCTTTCCCTGTTATCTTTCCCATCCCTAACTGATTCTGTAGTCTGACCTTTTGTCTCCTGGACACTCTGCTGCTAAAGATGCTAAAGTATTGGAACTTACCACCAAGCTTAGGAAGGTAGAATTTGTATATTAGTCCTTGTTTCTGCTTGCTGCTTTCTGCTTTGTCATGATTACTAACAAAAGGTCATATTGTCTAGGCTAGCAAGGAAAAGCTGAAAATGCATTTAATTTTTTTTTTTTTAATGGGGATTTGAATGAACTTCTACTGTTGCAAGCTCATTTGCAAATAGTAGTTGATTCATGGTAGTTAGGGGTGAGAGGCTTCATCATTTTGTTACTTACCATGCAAACTCTTACTAGGTCCTTTTACCAACAGAAAGGCATCTGTTCTGCATTTTGTATTCCCATAAATGGCAGTTGCGCAAAGCATGTTAGATATATTACTGTGCTTCAGTGTTTCTATGCTTCTGAAACCTTTTTAAAAAAAAAATTCTAATTTTGCTTTCAAATTGACAGGCTGAGGAGAGACATGGCAATATAGAGGAACGGCTGAGACAGATGGAAGCACAGCTAGAAGAAAAGAATCAAGAACTGCAAAGGGTACTGTACATATTTTTGGCAAGGATACAAAGCTGAAAGAAAGAATCTTACCCCTTCATGGCTGCCTACCATTCAACAAAGCTGTTTTTATTTCTCATCTCTAAAATGAAGCCAGAGTTTAGGCTGGCTGATAGTTGGGAGGTTTGAGCCACTATACCATGGCTAACCTTAAATGTCAAGAAAAAGCTGGAAGTCTCCAATCAGTTTCAAATATGTTTGGAAATACCTAACTGGTAGTCATACTGATAAGGAGAGAGATCAAAAACTTGATGAATTAAATTAATATGGAAGAAACGGTTCCTAGGTTATAAATAATGGAATTGGTTCTGAAACCTGCTTTTTCTTGAAGTGTAAGCTCAGATTTTCAAGCTTCTGATCTTGGAGCAGTTACTGAAGTCTTGAGTCTTCCTTATACTCTCTTACAGATTCATGGGGGTATATACAGTATTCCTTATTTCTTTGGGAAAATATTTCTATTAAAGAAAATGCATTTGGATTAAAGAAAGTTTACTGGTTTTTACAACCTGGAAATGGTTATAGACATTGTAAATTTTAAGGTATTTCAGTAGCTTTTATGTATCCTAGGCTAGACAGAGAGAGAAGATGAACGAAGAGCATAATAAACGTTTGTCAGAAACTGTTGATAAGCTCCTGTCTGAATCTAATGAAAGGCTTCAGCTTCATCTCAAGGAAAGGATGGCTGCCTTGGAAGATAAGGTAACAAGTCACATTCCAGCACGTACATTAATTAGGTGCTCAACATTCTGTAGTGATTTGTGTATTTGGCAATGTGTCTGTAACTTTAGTGAATAAATACTAAATCCTTATTAATAAGTAGTTTCTGTTAAGGCTGGTTTTCCAGTGTGGATTTTGAAAATAAGTTCTTAAAATTCTATATTTTTTTTGAGATTTTTCCCTGGGCATTGTACTACAGTGTTGAGAAGACATCTTTTAAGAAGCTTTATGCTTTCTTAGTTGACTGGTGTGGACTACATAAATAGGCTCATCCAGTGTAGTACAGGAAGTCCAAAGCATTCAGACTAGAACTTTGACATTTTCAGTTCAGTTTCTTTTATTTCCCACTGCTTTTTCCTGTACCAGTTACCCCGAGTCATTGTGGGATTCTTGCAAGTTGAAACAATCTTGCATTTTTTTCCCAGGTAGATAATTTTGAGACAGGTTAACTGAATGTAAATCGGTTGCTCCCTGGGTTGTCAGTGTACATCATAGAGCGTTCCCCTGTATTCAATTAATCTTTAACTCATGACATAATTTAGTCTGTTTCTTTCCTTTCTGCTTTTGGATCTAGGTCCTTACGGATTTTTCTTCCATGCGTGTCTTAAAGGATTCCCTTATTCTGCATCGAACAAAGCAGTGTCTTCTAGCACTTCGCTTGATGCTGACTTTGAATTGCATTGTCTTAGATTAAAAAAATACTTAGTTTCTTTTACTGGAGGGTGAAATGACCATCTGGGAAAATGTTTCAATAAAAGCTGAGTGGCTTTTGTTTTAAAGCCATGGCAATAAAATGCTTCAGTTGCAATATATGATGATGTATTCAGACTTTAAAAAATGTGTACTTTCTCTTGTGTTCACGTCAACTCAGTTCTCATCCCTAAACTATCGGTCAGGTACCTGACATTTCTTTCTGGAATTCCAGGGCTTGTGCTCCCCTCAGATCATTACAAAGATTTAGTTTGGTCTTTTCCCTGCTTGCGCTATGGGAGCTGCAAGGAATCGGGTAGTGCAGAACAAATTTTTGAGAATCAGTAGGACTTCTGAGTTAATGATAAAGGTCCTTATTGTCTGGCATCTAAAGCCGCAAACTTTGTCTTTCGGTTTTTCGTTGACATCACTAATTTCAAGATCACGAACTGCTCCTAGTACGCCAGAAATTCTTGTTATGGGCCTTGTTATGACTTCAACAAGGTTGCTTTAACAGTCTTTATAAATTCAATTTCTGAAAAACACCTGACTGCATTTTATTTTTTCAAATGCTTGAATACTTGGGGGAGCGGTCTTACGGTTAACCCAAACTCCCCTTTAGTCACCAAACCCTAACTATGTTCATGAATAATGAGGAAAATGTAGCTGTCCTTTGTTGTAAGTAACAGCTTCTAGAAAAGTATTCTTGCTGTGGCTTCCAGCTCATTCTTTTATAAGTTGGGAAGAAACATGCAGGTAAAATTTTAAGACTTTGTTCTGATCACTTGGGCTTTTTTCCTGGAATGATTTTTTTTTTTTGTTCATGTATGAAACTTTATTACACGTTTATGATGCAAATAATGGTATTACTTAATACAAGGAAATATGTTTAGTGGAACTTCTTGGCAAGGGTAGAAAAGAAAAAGAAAAAGTCCCAGTTATAAGTTTCCTATTAGAAGGGGGAGGTGTTTTTTTTTTTGTCTTGGTATCACATACTACAGTCAAATACAGTAGCTGAAATTCTTTGATTGTGTGGCTCTCAAATGTTTTTTAATTCTCAGGTGGTTCTTAGTCTGAATTTGGAAACTCCTTTGAGTAAAGAGATTGTAGTAGTTATAAGTATTTATATTTACTGGAGTGGTTTAGAAGTTATGGTATAACTGTAAAGACAACAGCTCTGGTGTTAATGAAGGCCCATAAGTGACTGAGTGTTGCCGTTTTGGAGGTACAGTACATCCAAGAAATTACTGTATTGTAATTTTGTAGGTCAGGCAACTGAAAATAAAATGAAAGCCTAATGATAACAGCTGGTAATGCCTTAGTAACTGCTCAGTGAATTACTTTGAATTATTTTAGCTGCCTGATTATTCCTTTTTTTTTTTACCATTTTTTTCAAATGGAGCTTTAAAAGGCTGGTATTGGTATTAAATTTTTGTGGAACTTGCACTATTACTAAATCCATTATTTAGAGGGCTGTACACCTGAAAGGATGAGCTTTCAACTATAGTCAAAGTGAAATGATGTAAGCAGTAAAGTATCTGTAACTTAAGATGCATCTGTATAATGTTGACTGAAATTTTTTGATACTCGCCTTGGTTATGGTTTAAGAGACAAAAGCTTTTATAAGTAACATAATTTGTGATACATTTTATTTTAGAATTCACTTCTTCGAGAAATTGAAAATGCAAAAAAACAGATAGAGGAACTTCAGCATGAAAAGGTATAATACACGTTTCTGAAATACTGTATTGGAAAATAATCGCTGCATTGCTACATAGCAGAACCAGGTTTGCATTCCCCCACACGTTACCTGGTCTGTTTAAAAGTAAAAGTAATTGCTTACCTGATGGTATTGTGTGCCTCAGTTTTATGATCATTTTATAGGTAATACAGAGCTTTTTACTCAAAAGACTTATCACACTTCTGAATTTGTAAAGTGGCTGGATATGCTGGCAATTTACCAAAGTTTGAAGATTACGTAGAGGTTTTTATACTGTTGTACATATAACCTTGAACTGTAAAAAGAAAAGAGAAATACTTTTAATGTTGGGTATTTTCCCATAATTTTTTTTTTTCTTAAAGCATTGGGTATCATGAAATGCTTGTTCGACTGATAAAAAAATCTTCAAAGTTTTAAGAAGTAGGGGGCAGGGAGAGGAATATTTATTAGAGTTGGCTGTTCCTTTGCAATAGCAGCTGGCTGGTGTTTTGCTTGTCCTGGAACTGACAAGTTCCCTTCTCGAACAATAGTGGTGGGGCCTTTCAGTTCTTTGCATCCTTAAGCAGTGGCAGTTGATTTTGTGGTCACACTATCTCTTCTGAAATAATGCTTGTTATTGCTTATTAAATCACAGGTGTACTGCATCTCCCCAAATCATTCTAGTAAGTAGCTAGGCCAAACTAGAGGCTGTGCTTCTATAATAAAATGAAGAACGCATTCAGAATATTTTGCAAAATGTGCTTTGAATTTTTGTATGTGTAGGCCAGCAGTTTTCACACAAGGCACAGATGTTCATCATCAGCCACTTTATTAGTTTTTTGTTGTTTTCTTATTTATTTCTCTCTTGTTAAATTCTGAGTTTCTAGAGCATGCAAAAATGTCCAAGTTAAAAGTAAATGTATTTAGAACCTTTGTGCACAGAGCTTGAAAAAATCTTCTTGTTTCTTATTAAATATTATCACCTAATTATAGTAAAGTTAGTAATACGTGACTTTTATTTAGTAGCTGTTTTTAAAATATACATTGTCATTACCTAGAGTCACAGTGTAGAGAGGCAAAAGAGTTATTCTTGGATGCCCTTTTGTGATGGTGCTGCATTGCATATAGCAAAAACAATTTTTACATTTTACATCAGAGGGGTATGTTTTAAAACCTGTTATTTCTGAGTTTTGTAGAAATGAGATGAAATAACTAAATGTTAGTTCAAAACTGGTATTTGACACTTTTTTTTAAGCATGTTGTTATGTATTTTATCTATTTATTTTTACAGGATCAACTCGTATTAAATGTTGAAGCATTAAGGGCTGAAAATGACCAAGTGAGACTCAGAGCCACATCACATCATCACAGGTACCAGCACTTAACTGTAGTTATTTTTTTTTTTTCTCATTTATTTGAAGTCACTTTGCTAAATGTAATTTTGAGTATTATAACTGAAAATACTTAAGTCACAGCTATGAAATGTATTCTTTATAGAGCATATAAAGCAGTTTTTATACTGCTTAAAAAAACCCCAGCACTGGTGGGACAGTAGGAATCATTTGGGCGGGTTTTTTTGGTTTGTTTTCCAACTTCCCTCTACCTTCGTAAGGATAAAATGTTTGTGTTCTAGCCGACCAGACTTCAGATACCCTATGACATCTTCATCTGTGGCTGACAGTCATACAGACTCTTATGGCACCTCATCAGTGTTAAGGCGTCCCCAGAAAGGACGCTTGGCTGCTCTCAGAGATGAACCTTCAAAGGTAACAGAACTCTGAAATTAAAATAAAAATAAAACTTCGGTAACAAAGTAGATTAGATGAGGCTAATCTATTGCAAGGAGTTTTTAGAATAGGAGTGCATAGCAATAAAACTGCTGGATTTTATATAGCCTGTTTTACTAACTAATGCACAGCTACTACTCTTTTTAATTATTAGCAAATAATTGCAAAATTGGGATTTTAAAGTCCAATTTGTTTTAAGTATGATAAGCCTGCAAAATATAATTTGAAACAGTCCTACTTTTGTGCCTTATCTACTTATCTACCGTGTTACTGTTCTGCAAGCAATTTCAAGTCCCTTTCAGGACACAAGTTCTCATTACGTAAAGCCGATTCCATATTCTCATTGGATTTGATAGCAAAAATCTACCATTTAGACTGTATGTAGCCAAGATATGTAATGTTTTCATTTATTCAATGGGGCTGTCCTTTTTAAATTTCACTTAACTGCAAGATGTAAAGTTTTCTACAATGTAGCTTTTTTTACATTTCTCTAAAAATTGCTGTCTTGATGGATGAATTCAGTGCGTAAGTGGGCTTTTTAAAAATTATTTTAAACATCTTGAAAAACACTAGCAATGTCATGTCCTTCCCGTTTGAGTTTGGAATTTTTTTTTTTTTTTTTTTTTATTCTCTTAGGTTCAAACTCTGAACGAGCAGGACTGGGAGCGAGCCCAGCAAGCAAGTGTATTGGCAAATGTGGCACAAGCATTTGAAAGTGATGTTGATGTGTCTGACCTTGAGGATGATAGGGAGACTATATTCAGTTCAGTTGATCTGCTATCGCCGAGTGGTCAGGCTGATGCTCAGACTTTGGCCATGATGCTTCAAGAACAGTTGGATGCAATCAACAAAGAGATTAGGTATGGTCTGTCTGCTGTTAGGGTTTTGATAAAAATGAATGTCTGCAATACTAGAAATCCTTTTGGTGTGGTTACTCAGAAAATAGTGCTTGCCCATTCAGTTTCCCTGGGGGCAATTGACAAGAAGTAACTCGTTTGCTGATGCCTAAGTACTCTTTTTGGGTTCTTTGTCTTTACTCCCGCTTACAGAAGGGATTGTGTATTACTAGTCTGACAGAAATCCCTGCATGATGGTGGTAGCAGTAGTGTTTACCACTTTTTTCAGATTGGATTAGAAGATTTTCAGTGTAGCTGTTTTGTCTGCCAAGTGCTGCTTTCTTTCTGATGCCTGAGTCAGCCTTTCTGTTTTTATGGTGCTTGTTTGAATGTCATGTTCCTTTGAAACTTTTTTTCTTTTAGACTTATACAAGAAGAAAAGGAAAACACAGAGCAGCGTGCAGAGGAGATTGAAAGCAGAGTGGGTAGTGGAAGTTTGGATGCCCATGGCCGATTCCGGTCCATGAGCTCCATTCCTCCTCCCTATGCAAGTGGTTCACTTGCTGGTTCTTCCCCGCCTGGCAGTGGCCGTTCCACCCCAAGGCGGATTCCACATAGTCCAGCTCGGGAGGTGGATAGACTAGGTATCATGACACTGGTAAGTATCCACTGACTTAGCTTTTTGGAAGAGTGTTCCTTTTCTCTAGGAAATGGGCTGTTTGATTTCCCCTTCCTCTCCTTCTTACTCAGCTGTATTTTTCCTTTCTCTAGGTTTTTCTACTGCTTCCTTTCAACTTCTATAAAAAGTGTAAGATACAGTCATAATGATTAGGAAAAACGTTCAGAACTCAAGTCTATTATTTGGTCAACATCTCATGCCTAAGTATTCCTTCTGTTGTCATGGTCTTTCTTCTGACTCCTCTTCCTAGAAGAAATAATGTTTTCTTTTCAACCCCTGGTACAGCAACAAGTTTCTCCCTTTGCTTTAAAATTAATTTTTAGCAGTCCACTATTCTACTAAATACTCAGCTAAAAAGTGATTTACCTATATTGCATTACTCTTGAAGATTGTGAAGGTATCACAGCTGGTTTAATATTAATGGGTGCTAGTGTCTTGTTTTAGCCTATTAAGACTGTGAAGTAAAAGAAGTATCCGTTAGACCTAGCAGCTGATGTAGTAGTAGCTTGGGCTTAGCAGTTCAGCAAGTAGAGAAAGATGGATCCATTCTTTTGACATTCATATGACTGCTTATTAAATGAATCCTTCTAAGAGCTGCTGTATGCATGTAAACCTATCTGTAAAAACAAGATACAAGTTTTCTACTTTTTTGTTTTTACGTAAATGTTAAGCAAACCTAACAGTTTCTCATATGTGGAATACCTTTCATTAAGGAGTATCTTGGATACATGTATTTATTCGCAAGCAGTCTCCAGGAAATGCTTCTTCTCCAACTTAGCTCTAGATATATTACTTTGTCTCCAGACTTGCATGTGCATTTGGAAACTGCACTTACTAGTTGTACATGCAACATCATACTTAGTACACCTTATTGTCTTGGATTACTGCACTCATATCATGCCTATACCATACCAATTCATAGACAAGGAATGCTGTCCATCACTGTAAGAGCAGGTGGACTGTAATTGGCTCATTTAGGTCTCTTACAGGAGTGTTTAAAACCAAGTATTTTGGCTAATTACTTTGCTGGCTTTTTAAAATGAAAGTGTACATATACCAGAAAGTCTGTTTTTTTCATAAAAAGGAATCATTTTGCCTTTCTTGCATTTTGGAAAAAACCCCCACACATTATACTAGCTCTAGCTGTATATCCAGAGTCAAGCACACTTCTTCTACAGAAACTAAAACACTTCAAAATGTGGAGTGCTTTATATCCTAACTTTTCACAGTAGTGAGTAGTTAAGCTAAGTAGTTCTTTTACAGAAAACCATATGCAAATTTAAGTAGCTATTTCCATGAAAACCAGATCAGAAGAATGTGTGTCTTATATTAAATTTTAATGTAAGTGAACAAAAGTAAAATAATTAGTTCGTTTTGGATTGTAAGACTTGTAACTCAAAGGCACTTGATCCATTAGTTGCAGTTGCATTTGTCTGATGTTTTGGTACCTGGCAACTGATTTGTGACAGCTTTTGTGAAAGCAGGAAAACACGAAGCTATGCTTCTAGAATCACAAAACAAGAGCTTTCTAGAAACTTTTGGAATGGCTATTATGAATTATCAGACTGAGTTCTTTTGGATTTTTTTGATGTTTTAATAGAAAGTTGCATTAGTTTATGAGCACGATGGCAGCATTAGCTTAACACTAACTGCAGTAGTGGTTTTGAAAACCCTTTGTGATTAAAATAGCATCAACATGATAAATTGTGGAACAGTTCTTGTGGACAGTTTTCATTCCATATGGTAAACATTTTCATTTTTATGGGTTATCAGATTTAATAGATGGAAGATCCAGCAAGGGTAAAATGAGTTGTCTGCGCTTTGTCTAAGAAGTTGAGGAGGGCCTAGATGAAGGTCCCTTCCAACCCATAGTAATCTATGGCCAGATTGAGCAAAAATTTACATATTAATGCTGCGTAGTTTGCATGTATTCTAAATAAAAAATTATTACAAGTTGTCATTTGTGGGAGGGCAACAACACACAGCTCCCCCACCAAACTTCAAAGGGGACAGTCATTTCAAATAATTTGTCACCAAATGCAATGATAATTATTAAACGAATTATCTCAATTAAACTGTTGTCAGCTTCAGTCTGAATAACTTGATCACTTGCTGCCTTGCTCTGTGCACTGGCAAACGTGGGAAGTACCTAGGAAGTGAGATACTGTGGCTTCTGGAGTGGATGGAGGATAAAATACAGTTGGTGGTAGGCTCTTGCTCAAACATTCCAGCACTTTAAGCTTAGTAAAAAGAACAGAATACTGTTACTGTATAGAAATCAGCTCTTCTTGGCACTCCATCTTTCACAGTAGTAAAGTATGGCTGCTTTATGCTATGGAGGAAACAACTGCAGAAGTCACTAAGGTGTGAGAAGGGACTAGAAGCCTGCTATGGCTACCGTGTAGGTCATATAGGTCAAGGCAAGTCCTTGACATATGACTGGAAATCCTCTCACTTTTTGCAAACAGCACCTTACGCCCCCATGTACTTTAAGGTTTTTCTTGCTGAAGATAATGCACGTTTTATATACTAATTTGCCTGTGCTACCAGTGCATTGAAATAGCTACGGTACTTTTGTAGATAAGCAACTCTAAGTCTTGAGGTTTTTTTTTTTCTTCCTTTTCCCCTCTTCTGAGATACATTTAAGTAATTTGTGATTCGAAGAGTACTTCATAATCAGTATCTTTCTCTGTGCCATTGCTGTAATTGTTATTTATATTCTCCCTAATATGTTTTGTCTGTACTAGTTTCAGTCTGTGCTACAGTTTACAGTAAATACGGCTTTTCTAAATTTCTTTTCTTTGCATGCATCTGTCAGCCTAGTGATTTAAGGAAACACCGTAGAAAGGTAAAACTCTTCAGTTTATTTACTGGTGTGCCCCTTCATTTCCTTCCCTGTGCCCAAACTCATTAATGAGTAACAGGAGCATAAAAGAAAGCATTTGCAGGGTAACCCTATAATAAAGCAAGATTATATGCTCTTTGATATTAAATGTAAAATGGTTTATCATCTTAACATAAGTGTGGGTTTGTTTTGTGGGTTTTTTTTGTTTGGCTTTTTTTGCTGATGTGGGGGACTGTTGTGTTGCTTTCTGTTTGTAACCACTATTTTGCTAGTCTTCATGAAACAATATTTAATTTTAAAGATCTATTAGTGCACACGCAAATAAGTCTTAATTTCTGTTATTCAGACTTTAAGATAAGCCATAGCCACAAGTATGTAGAAACTGACTTCATAGAATTGGTAATCTTGCTAATGATTATCTAAACACATAACAGTGAGAATTGAGATGCCTTCTTTTCACAGGACTGTTTGGCTTTCTGTCTTTGCACTTGCGTAAACTGAAGTTGAGTGTATTAGTTTTATGGAGCTGAAGACATTACTTTTATTCATTCATAGAGTTAAGAAATAAAGATGAGTGCTACTTGCTCATTTCAGTAGCTAAGAATGGAATTTACTAGTTTGTCACTGAAGGTAACAGAAAACCCAGAAAGAAGTCAATCAAAAAATAGGCAACTGCAGAATGATAAGGGCAAGAGTCATCCTTTAACACTGAAATAATTTATTTTTTCCATCAATGTTTTATGTAGTGTTGATATTGCATTCATGTTTTGGCATTTCCAATTAACCCCTCAAGCTTTCATTTTCCATTAGTCTCCATCTTCTAGAGAAGAGGTACGAGATGATAAAACCACAATAAAATGTGAAACATCACCACCTTCTTCACCTCGATCTTTGCGTTTGGACAGAGTCCAAAAAGGAGCTTTGCATACAGTGAGCCATGAAGATATCAGGGACATAAGAAAGTAAGTAGCTGCGAATAAGTCAGGCCTACCAGTAACTTAGTATTTCAGATCATCAGAATAAAACCCTAAAACTGCAAAGCTGTTCAACCTGTAGGATTTTAGTTTAGATATTGAAGTGTTTCGTAAAAGTAGAGTATGAACATATAAATGGGTGACTATGATACATAAACAATAAGGATACAGATTTTGTTAATAATCAGAAATGGCTTTATGTGAAGAACTCTTCTGGTATTCAAGGTCTGCATTAAGTTTGCTTCATGTTTAGGAAATGAAAGATGTATAATTCCAGTTGTCTTTCATAGGTTGGAATTTAGCTATAAATTTAGACGTAAGTTGCAAAATGACAATCATTTTGATTTACAGGTGTTCTCTTCAAAGTATCTGAGATAGATTCCACTCAAGTATTTCAAACTTCCATTATCTGCCTTGATTTGTCAGGAACTCGCATTGTCAACTTTGGTCTCTCTGAATTGCACTTTAAACACTTTATTTCTTAAAATAAGAATTGACTTGTAGTTCCATACTATACCATATTAATATTATATCCCTTCCTTTCTTACATGATTTAGTTGTTTCCACTGTTTTTACTGTTTAATGACAGGTATTTTTCTTTTCATAACTCATGAAGAGGCGAAATTAGATGTCATTAGGCAGTTACTGAGCTTTCGTTAACTTGCACAGAAATCTGAACTTGTCTCCCACTGTGTTAGGCCAGTGATTTTGTTGTACATGTGCTCCTTTATGACTCCTTTTTTTGTAAAGTTCAACAGGCTCACAAGATGGGCAAACAAGTAATCCTAGTAGCAGCAATAGTAGCCAAGATTCCCTTCATAAAGCCCCCAAAAAGAAGGGGATCAAATCTTCTATTGGCCGCTTGTTTGGCAAGAAAGAAAAGGGACGACCTGGACAAACAAGCAAGGAAACATTAGGACAAGGTTGGTTTGCTTTTGGGTTTGGTTTTTTGTTGGGCTTTTTTGGTTTGGGGTTTTTTTTCCACAGTAAGAGAGAATGAAAGACTGACTTTTATGATGTATGTATCAGTACGTGCATATTTATGACTGATTATTTTGATGCTGATGTACAGCATTTTTTGGAACTAGTGACACTGAATCTTCTGGTAGGTCCTTTTATGAGTGTAGGATGCAAGTTCAGCTGGTCAGGTGTTGTTGTCATTTAGTCTCATGTAGCCAGCTTATTGAAACTCACTGAACTGTTATGACTTGTTTTCTGAACCAAAAATTTCAGCTGTATCTTGGAAGTGAGAGGGACTTTTGTTAGTATTGACACCAATATGTCATGTCTTCACTTTGGACCCAAAGGAGCTCCTTTGAAACAAACCAGCTGGCTTAGCAAATGCCATAGTTAACCTTTCTCTCTGGCATAATTTTTTGCATAAAGCATGACACCATCTATAAGTGATATGGGAACGCTGAGAATCCATCTTACAGGGGGTTGAAATATGAGGTTCTCAGTGTGACTCTAGCTGGTTTTAGACAGCACCTATCTGAGTCCATAACAATGTGATTTTCCTATTTTTATACACCATTTTGATGGGCATTAATTCAACTAGAAAATAGTGATAGATGGGCTTGGAGGCCTGGCTTTCTGCGTTTCTGATCAGTAACATTACAAAGGATTAAATAGGAAAGCAGCAGTGATTTTTGAGTTATAACTGGCCAAAATCGAGATAACAAGACTGATATTTTGATTGGTTTTTTTGTAGTTGGCATGGCAGAAGCAGATAGTTCCTCTCAGGATGCATTAGGTCTCAGCAAGCTTGGAGGTCAGGCAGAAAAGAACAGGAAAATGCAGAAAAAGTAAGTTATTTAATATTTTTAATCCTCTGTTGTTAAGATACTGCTTTGTTTAAAAATCTTTTGTTGTCTTTGGTTAGTTTGTTTTCAGGTATTTTTGCCTAGTATGGCAAAAATATGGCTCTGTAGCATTTTTTAACTTTTTTTTTTCCCCAGAAAATTAATAGTAGCATAGGTTGTGGTAAGTTTGAAATAAATTTCAGTGCTGAAAGCTTATTGTTGAAATTCTGGAATAAACAAACTTCGAGATAAAAGTGGACTCTTATCAAACCTTCCCCCAAATTTGTTATATTAATACCTGCTTTGGGTTTAATTAATTTGGAAGACTTCCCAAAGTTGTCTTGGGCTGTTACTTGCTCCAGAGTGTGAAAGAGTTGACAGAGTGAAAGCATGAGATGTTCTGTACAGCCATCCTTCTGTATGCGTTTGCTGGTTCCTTCCTAGCAGGTGACTCTGAAAATATTTCCTTTTGTGTTGCTCACTGCTGCTGTGTTCGCTAATTTTCTTACTTCTGTTTGATGCTGTCTTGACATTTTCTCTCATATATTTTAACAGCCAAAATCTTTTCTCCTTGCACCACATAACCCAATTTCCTGGTTTTTAATATTTTGTGACTATTTCCTTTTTTATGGCAACTTTTAGCTATGCAGTTACCTTTTCCTAGTCATCAGAATGTTTTCAGTGTGTGTCCAAGAAAATCTTTGGTTTAATGTTCACCTTGGGAGTATCTATTGAATGCTTTGTTTTTCCCAGGCTTAGAGAAGGAGCAAAAACTATAATCATAGGCAGAAAAATAGATAGCGCTACTAGTAGAAATCTTAACTTGATGCTTATATGGTAATACAGGAAATGCTCAAATTTATGTAAGTAGGATCAGGCATTCTTTGCATTTTTCCACCCAAAGCTGAGCCACATACCTTGAACTTTTGTTGCTTCTGTTCTGTTCGGCTGTCTTTACTCTGTGTCAAAAAAGCTGACCAAGATCAGCCCTGTCTTATTTTTTTTTTACTTCTGAAGGCAGAATAATGAATGTTGAAAAGAAAGTGTGCTACATCTTCTCTTTGTAAGAGTGATTTCTTGCAGTACCTAAGTTCTATTAACAAATAAGAATAATGCCTGGTGACTGCTAATGAAAACCAGCAGTGTGTTGGTTTGAAAAGTCAGAATGGAATGTGGTTTTGTTTGTATAACAGAACACTCAGCTGTTTTTCTTCAGACTGTTACACTGAAGGCTATCGTACATTATTATGATCTGGTATTTTCCCTTTTCTGCAGAGCATTGAAGTCATACCACATCTTGGTTGAATAAATAGTTTCAGTCTGGTCATATCTAAATAGCAGTAGGCCTGTTCTTTGAACAATATGGATCTTTCTCAATACCAGCAACAAAATTCATTCTAGAGTAAAACAGTCTTTACTGGCTTGCTTTGATAAATGCAAAAAATGCAGTTGCAGATAAATCATGACTTTTCTTTCTAAACATTCTGCCTTTCAGAAATTTACTGGTGTTACTTAAAGTATACCTCATGGCTGCATGTTGTTGGTTGCTTAAAAGGCAAGCATCTCTATTAGACAAATGAAAACTTTTAGTTTGATTACTACCTCTGAAATATGGGTATGTGCTTATTCACAGGGAGGTATCTATGGTTCGGATGTTTCAATGAAAGTGGGTATGAAATAAGACTGTGTTGATGAACATATGTATCACAACGTTTAGTTTTATTACTCTTACTGCTAAGAGCAGCAGCAGGGCCCTTTGAACTTCCATGAGAAGCAAATTGACTATTTTAAAAATCCCAGCAATATATTTTAACCCAGCTGTTTCAGAATTCTGACAGGTATTCTGAACATCAGAAGCAATATTATCACAAAGTGTCAAAGAGCCCTTGCTGCCTTCTTGAGATGTTCATTATCAAAAAGAAAAAGCAGTAAAGCTGCTCTGAATTACTTTTCGCTTTGATGTTGGAGGAGGGTGGGGTTAAAACAAATTCTCGAGGCTGACTGTTCACTTATAAAATACTGTATTGAGTGAAAAGAATTCCAGTTACCTGAATGCTTGGAACAGTGACAGCTAGTTCTATTTATAGTTGTCTCTAATCCCTGTTTGCTTGCTTATCTTTGTGATTTCTGCATGCATGCACATGAACAGGCTGAGGGCAGTATTCAATTTCTTTACTAACAAAAACCTATTTATAGCTACAGAATTAAATTACAGGATACATTATTTGTCTGTTTTTGTATGCCTTTGAGTTCAGTTTAATCCTTGTTTTGTATTTTTCCTTCATTGTTTTATTTTCCTTTTGTTTACCATTTGATGTGGTAGTGCAAAATCAGGGTAAGTTTATATTTATTTTATTAGGATTGTTGTGAAATTATGATAAATCTCATTTGGATTTTTTAGCAATATATTAAAAAGCTCTAACTTTTTGAAAAAAAAGCCTAATTACAAGAGGAGATTCTAGATTCAAAAGAATCTATTATGAAAATGTGTTGCTGAAATAAATCCAGTGTCATCTAGTTCAGTGTGAATGCCCGTTCAATGTCTTGTCTTAATTTGCATGGTGTGATTTTTTATAACGGAAATATTAAACCCTACTTAAATGGAATTAGTTTTGTAATTTGGGTTTTGAAAGTTGTTTAGCAATAGCAGGTATTTTTGGTGATTCATTTCCAAGGTAGATGTATTTCTGTAAACTGCTGCTCTCTGTTTACTAAATTTAAGTTTTTAGTGTTTTGTTCCTGCTGTTCATCTTCCTTGTGAGCTGTGCTATTGACCGTGTTTGCCACAACTGTTTGTGCTTTTCTGTGTACAACACATAAAACTTAATACTGTATTAATCAAAAAGGAAGGCAACCCTAAATTTAAGACAACTCTCCTTAAAAACAGCTATACACAAAAAGTTTGTTACGTACCTGAAATTGATATTTAATAAGGATCAAGTTTCCATTGATGCTCTGCCTGAAATTAGCCTGTTTTCATCTCATGTTTTGCTATTGTTGCTTTCCAGCTTTAACATCTTGCAACTGTCATTTCCATCAGTGTTGTTCTTTTCACCTTCCCTGCAGTGTCTTCTCTACTCTCAACTTCTTCCAAATAATTTATCTTCAGTTCCATCCAAGAAATCTGGAATACAGCATTCCCCTTTGGCTACAAGTTCTGGATTTATCCGTTCCCATGCTGTCTTAATCCAGTGACAAAGTGGTGTTTCACCAAGCTGCTTTATTTTCCTTGTGGGGTTAGAGTATGGTTGCCTGCCAAGAGCCACTCTAAACACAAATACTTCAAATGGTCTTTAAAGGGCCTTGTGTGTTCACTACTACATCAAGCACCTGCAGTTTTGACATCATTTCTCATCCCACGTGACGGCAGTTTCTTTGTTCTCCACAGCTGGCGTTAGATGCCTTCTGACTGTGTCTAACAACAAGTGTTCCCCTCTTGCAGCAGCACATTTGGTCTCCCGTTCCTAGTGATGTTCAGCCAACTTTTTATTAAGCCTGTAGACAACCATCCCTCGATTTTGTCCCCTAAGAGTTATTCCAGTAGCCAGCCACTCCTTTGACGTTCTTTTGTCCTTCACGGTGCCAGCTTTATACCATCTGTTAACACTGCCAACACTACTGCACTACAAATTTGGATTTTGCACCCACTTTTAAAATGGTGTAATTGGATGGCCCACGAAACTAAGCTGGCATGGCAGTTCTGATCTTTACATAATCTGATCGTGTATTGCTGGAATGCAGCAAGTTTTGTGGTGAAGTTGGAAGGGAATTGTTGGAAAAGTGAAGTTCTTTGCTGTAGGAAAAAAACATTGATGCATCATTTGCAGATAAAACAGCAGCTGCCTTTGAATTCTTCTTGTGAGATGTTTTGTGCCTGTGCTGTCTTGACCCTTCAGCTTAATGATATACCATGCAAGCAAGTTTCTGTTTCTTCTTGCATGCGAACAAATTCTGCAATTAATTTTCTACTTCATGGATGCGTTCCTCTTTGGAGCCATTGAATAATTTCAGCACCGAGTTATCTCATAAGCATTTTTGTTTATTTCTATTTCTATGTTTGCCTCCATCACATAACAATTCCTTCTAGCTGCACAATTGTTTTCTGCATACGATGCCACCCTGAGTTTTGCATCATAACCTCTCCTTACGCTTTTGATACATTCCCTGTACTGCTCATCTCTGAATGATTTGCCCTTTTGTGGTTAACTTGAAGTGTGCAGGGAGACTTAGAAAGCTAGCAGAAATTATTCTGCAGTTCTCTGAATTACGTACAACTACGCAAGCAGATTTATAAGCTGGTGCGGAGGCAGCAGTGATTGCATGCTCTCATGGGGTCATCCTAGTCAAACCTGAGGCTGCTTGGGGCATGTCTGTGCTCTTTCATCACCCATGGACCTCCCTCACTGCACTGTCATGTTACCACAACCACCGAAAAGGAAGACAGAGACACCAATTCTTAAGTGAAACTACTTGGAAAAAAACCATTGTGTTCCTTTCTGGCAAATGCAGTATTAAGCGTTTTACTCTGTTCTTACCAAGCAGTGTTTCATAATATCTTATTCATTTATTTTTCTAGTTTTTTAATCTTTAAACAACAAAGTGAAGCAAAATGGAATGTGTTCAGGGCTAGTGATATGTGGGATTAACATAATGTGTTCTGCAGTAGCAGGAAAATAGCTGATCGTTTGTTCCTAATTTAGAAGTAAATGTATGTTTTTGCAGTATATAAATATGTATTAACTTTTACGGTCTTCTCCTCTTTGTTAGTGAAATCTAGCTGTTGAGCTGCTAACTGCTGAACACTGTTTCCACCTTAATTGTTGGGTTGTAAAATGAGTACATTAGATCAGTTATTTGTAACCCCTTATCTGGTAGTGCCTTCCTTCCTCCCCTTTTTTCATTCCTAGGCAGCACATTTAATTGGGATAAAGGATTGGGAGGTTCTTCTAGAGTAATAGGAATTCACTGACAGGCAGGTGGAGAAGTACTATCTATTGATAAAACAGTTGCTAGTATGTTTATTACTTCATTGATTATATTTTATATGTAGTTGTCTACCAATATAACACGAGGATCCTAGGTATGCTGGCATGCCTAAAGAGCTGAACACTGCATATCTGTTTTGCACTGCTAGCAAAGAAAGCTACTAGTCTGTCAGTAACCCACTTTCAAGGTGTCTTGTCTGGTAGTTTATTAATATCTGTAGCTTTTAAATATTTTATCATAGATATATTTAATGACACGGCTCTGAAGGTGAGGAGATTGTTTTACATTGTGAGAAAATTATAAATACATAACATAGGATCCTGAATCTGTAGTATTGCTGCTTATCTTCTTAATTCTACACTTGCAGGCATGAATAAAAAGCATAAAACTGTAAAAACTGCCCAAGGAGGTGAAGTTGGTTTTTTTGTAAACTTCTGAGCAGAGTGAGTGGAGGCTTAACCATATACAGCTAGCTTTCAAAGGCAGCTTAAATATGCTTTTTTCAGACTTTACCCATTTTTTCAGACAGATGTATCCAAGCAACATTGCACGCTAATACCCATGATACTGTTTTTTGTCTCTTGGTTTATCAAATATTTTTGGCAGCTATTTATAGGGAGCTTGTGAGCTTCCATTGTTTCTGTAAGCTGAATGGTCAATATTAAACTCCAGTCTCTTCTGTTTCAGAATAACAAAGGAAATGGTGTCATCGTAGCAGATGAAAGCTGAGTTCCAGTACGCAGCTTTTCAGAATATAATTGCCAAAGCGTGGCGCTCTGAATATAATGGTTGTCTGAAGCTGTGCCTGAAACTCTGACAGGCTGGCTGTTGCAGACTGAAATTCAGCAATTGAATTTTTACTGTCCCAGTTTCCAGCCTCAACAGCCTGATGGACAATACTATTTCAATAGCCTGGGTATCTGCTGTACTCATACACTTCCACAGGTTTCAAATCTGCATGTTGGAGGAAAAATGACTATTTTGGTTCAGTCTAATTTGCTGAACAGGAAATTGCAGCAATTGAGCATCTGACTGACAAATAAGTCTGACACCTCCACTTGGTGTTGGTGGCATTGGTTAGAGGGTCAATAGCAGCTTCAGACACAAATTGCTGAAAGGCAAGATCCAGCATCTCTGCCACTCTGAAATTTCCTACCCAGTTCAGCTCATGTCACTACGAAGTCCTTGTACGTGTGCTGTGGCTGCCTTAGTGGGTATATCGTATAAATCTGAGAAAGGAAGAAAGCTAACTAGTGGAAAGAAGAGAGTAAATTGAATGCAGTGTTGAAATTGTAACATCTAGTTGTAACTAGTTTCTATTTGTAATTAATAACTATTTCTGTAATTGTAGGCATGAGTTGCTTGAGGAAGCCAGAAGACAAGGTTTACCTTTTGCACAGTGGGATGGGCCTACTGTGGTTGTGTGGTTGGAGGTAAGTGGTCCCTCCAAAATAAATAAATAAAAATTAAAACCCTCAGTCTACAGACTTCTAAAGAATTTAAGGTTTTGGAGCAGGAATCTTTTCCAGATCCTGCTTACTTCCTTTTTTTGTGTTTCAGCTGTGGGTTGGGATGCCAGCTTGGTATGTGGCTGCTTGCCGAGCAAATGTGAAAAGCGGTGCTATCATGTCAGCCTTGTCCGATACAGAAATACAGCGTGAAATTGGAATTAGTAATCCTCTGCACAGACTGAAGCTGAGGCTGGCCATTCAAGAAATCATGTCACTAACAAGTCCATCTGCCCCTCCCACCTCACGGACGGTAAGGAAAGTGATCCAGCATTAAGCATCTTTTAGGATGTCTAAAAATTCTTCTGTAAACATGTAACTGAAAGGATTTCAGCTTTAAATAACAATTTCTGGAAACATGAAATTGTAGAGAAATACATTATTTAAATAGAGGATGTTTCTTCCTTTCATGGAAATTAAATGAAGGAATAACTACATTTTCTTTCTTAAGGGAAAGATAAATTTATATCAGTGTAAGTATATAATCCATAATTAGAGTACATGTTATTTGCTTCATCTTTTGGCCTCAGAAGAATTATTAATACAGATGAAGTGTACATGCATGTACAGAAATTTGCAAAATAGCTGGAGACTCTTCTAATCCTCATGTAAGGCCATTGGCTCTAAATAATGATTCAGCCTACATAAACTGGGAGTCCACCTCTCTACACTGTGGTAAATTTAGACACATAAAGTCAGTGTGAATTCCCTCTCGTGAGTCTGTCTGCCCTGCAATCTGAAGTTATTTCTGAGATTCCTGGGATTACGTGCTAGACTACAAATGCATTTTTCAGATTAGAGCAGGGTCAAGTGTTTGCCGGTTAATTACATCAGTGTAAGCTGTTTATCACAGTCAATTTTGTTAATATCTTTGAAGAAAAGTGATCCATATTAATAGGCTTTTATTCCATGCCATTACTTTCAATAGATACACCTATACTTAAGACTTTAGAAACCATTGCTTTTGCCCATGCCTGCTCCTTACATGTACCGATTGCTTATGTGTTCTGCAACCTCTCCTCTTTGTTACTGCTTTCCTTTCACTGGATGGGATTGGTTCCCTGTGGGGTCATATTAGACCACGGGAAATGTCTGGGTAACTCATGAAGAAATGGAAAATCTTACAGCCACACAACAAACGGTTAGTTTACAGTGTTGCCACTTCTGTTCCTTAGAGTGCTTTTCCCACTTTTTCAACATCTGAATCCAGTGCCTTTTGGTCTTTTTTCTTTTTCTTCTCTAAATTAATGCATTAAAATTCTGGATCATTGCTGCTTCTAATTATTAACCTTGTAACCTGCATCTTGAGAGTTTTTTTTTTTCCAGAAGGGGGGCGAAAATCAACATTGATAAGATTGTAAAGAAAACACTTTCTAATCTGTAAAATGGAGCTCTGATTTGATTAATTAGTAGACAAATTGAATTACTTGCACAAAAGTTTCTTCTCTCCAGAAAACTTAATCAGTAGATGGGTTTTGCAACCTCTCTTATGAAAATGAGTGCCTTGTGTATTTTTTTACAATGCATGATGCTTGCTTTACCTAGACTTTTTTGGTATGCAGTAGATGTAGAGTTTTGCAGTGCATCTTTAACTTTGATCTCCTTACTAAACTTAAATACTAATACGTATGTGTTCTTTTGCTTTTCTAACCACGTAACAGGAAGATGAGGAGGGCAGCTGGGCTCAGGTTGGAAACTTTATGTAATATTATAGAGTATATGTAAACTGTCACAATAATTAGAGCATGAAAGAATCTGTTTTTCCTTTATAGCAGTTTCTTTTAGTGACTCTAGGTGTGGCTTTGGGGATCGGGAGAGGGGGAAACTGCAGGCTTATCTCTGTATAATACATACTTGGAAGATATGCTTTTATATTTAGGTGCTTTAAATATTTTACTGTTTTCTAGAACTTCCAAGGTTTGGTGGGTCGTCATTGAAAATTTGTAAGATAGTTTGTTACCTAGTACATCACAAAAAAAGCTATGGATAAGGATTTTTAATAATAAGGCTGTTAGGAGAATATTCAGAAGTCTCTGTTATCATTAGCTTTCTGAAATATTTGTCCTCTGGTTTATGAATTGCCAAAATGAAGTTACTACAATGCTTATTAAGAGTATTCTGTGTATTGAACATACCAGATCACATTTTAAAGTAATTTCATGACAGTGTGGGGTGTTTTGGTAGGGGATGGCTCTCTGGGAAGCCAGAAGTCCAACAAGAATATCTGCTGTGTGCAGAAAGTCCCTGTTCAACCTGGCCACCGTCACAGGTGTGCTACAAGACATACTGAGCCTAGATAGTTAAGCAGATTTCTGCACACTAATTCTGTAATCCTCCTTGATGAATTGTTTTCCCTTAAAGTGGTGACAAATCCTAATTGTATTTTCAGCCATTGAGATAGTAGAGTATTTTATACAGGGATATAAACAAAACTCAGGATTTGCCTGTGACCACTGTCTTCGGACAGTATAGTCTCTTCTTGCTTGGCTGCCCTCCAGCTTAAACCTGTTTAAGTCCCATTAACTCAGTCTCAGATACTCATTTGCAGATTGTCAATGGTAACAAACACAGTTTACCTCCCTGTTACAAGAGCAACGTGCTCTTTCAGTCTGCTACCTAGCGATGGCTTGAAGAAATGCGTTTCTGTGTGGCCTTACTCCTTTCTAGAAGGTGCTTCCTCCAGAGGAGAAGTAAAGCTTTTGACTTTTAATTGCACAGTAAAAATGAATTATTACACTTCTGTAAAAAAGGAGCTGCTGGCTTTTGTTGCTCAGGGAATGATTAGATGCATAGTTACAAACTCTCTTCTTAAAAAGCTTTCTCCAAAAAATGCCTGATGATTTGCAGGTCAAAACTGCAGTGAAGGAAGGTGGTTTTGGTGTTTGTGGTTTTGGTTTGGTTTTTTTTTTTTTTTCTTTTTTGGTTTGGTTTTAGGATGAGGACTAGCACTTAGAATTGCTTGTTCTTCAGTAGTGCGCTTTTATCATTTTTTGCTTACTTGATTAGGATTAGTTTCTGAGAACAGTTCAGTGTATTAAAAAAAGCCCTGCAGGTTTTTTTTTTAATATCTTACATTTATATGGTCCTGTGAAAAATAAGAATCCCCACACACTTCTTACGTGATACAGTATTTTTAGCATTTTAACAAAATGAAATTCTATGGCTCTTACCATCAAAACAGTATAGATTAGTATTTTTTATTAGTGTTTGCATATTTTTTCATACTTTTTAACATGACATAACTTAAGGCAGTTTCACTTGCAGATCTGAATATCTAAACTTGTTTTTCTTGATGAGCTTGACTTCTTCAGAAAAAATACATGTAGTATTCAATATTTTGATTTGCTTGTCTTTACAGGCTAAGAATTAAGTAAGCATTGTTTTACTTTTTCCTTTAAAATACATTGTCTAAAAGAGCTTCTCTCTTTTATTTCTCATTTTAATAAGCTTATTCCTTTATCTTTTAAAAACAGACGTTGGCTTATGGTGATATGAACCATGAGTGGATTGGCAATGAATGGCTCCCTAGTCTGGGGCTACCTCAGTATCGCAGCTATTTCATGGAGTGTCTTGTTGATGCTCGAATGCTGGATCATTTAACTAAAAAAGATCTGCGTGGGCAACTTAAAATGGTGGACAGCTTTCACAGGTAAATAGATTTAAGTTGGAGACCTAACAAAGTAAATGTTTCCATTATCTCTAAATGTTTTTTTTTTTTCTAAATTTGGTTTTTTTTTTTTTCTAAACAGAAACAGTTTTCAGTGTGGAATTATGTGCCTACGAAGACTGAATTATGATCGAAAAGAACTTGAAAGAAAAAGAGAAGAAAGCCAGAATGAAATTAAGGGTTAGTACATTGTCTTGACTTCAGTCTGATACTAATGTGTTTTTTCACTGATCTGCCTCAAAAAAAATTTTTTTTTTTTTTTTTTTTAAAAAAAAGGCCTTAGAGGGAGGAATTATTTATAAACTATCAAGTGTTAAACACAGGAGAATGTCTGGCTGCAGATCCCAAACGGTGAATCATAAAACACAATTAAATCATTCACTCATGCAGAGATGTGCTACAAGTGCAGTCTTTTTTGAAATTCTTACTGCTCTGAAGTTTGAAACAAAGCTACGCGTTTTAGGAGGAACGGGGTTTTGAAAAAGTTTTTTTTTTTCTTTTTTGTTTTTTTCTTCCCTGTTCTGATACAATAGCTTGGCATCTACATGATTTTATCGTTACTTGTGGCTGGTAATTTTTTATTATCCAGCACTTCGTGAAAAGTATCCAAGTGACTTAGGTGTTTATATCTTCCAGATTCATGGTGATTTTTGAACAAGACAGGCAAAAAAGAAGCAGCAGGGTTGGGAATTAGCAGTATTTTCCAAGACTTCCATAGAAATTTTGTCGTTTGCCTAATATCAGAAGTCTTTTCTGACATCTTAGACTAAAATTTTAGGGTTACCTTGTACAGGGTTTGCTTAGGAGTCTCTGTGCCTGGTCTGCCCCTTTTCTTTTAAAGTGTTGATACCTTTTGGTGGTTATTCTACTAGTTGTGCCTGAGAATGTTCCCAGGAATCACAGCTAACTGGCATGAAACAAGTCTGTGTTGTGGCTGGTAAGCCTTTTTTAGCCTCCTAAATGGCATGGCTGTATCTATTGCCTATAGGGAATTGCTCCTTGGAACATAAAACTCCTGAATGCCTCCTGGGAATTGCTTGGGAAGAATGCTAGTTGGCATAAGCCAGAAACGTGCTGTGGATCATTTGATTGGTGCAGACATTCCTGAGTAATATAAAAAAAAAAAAAACCCTACTTGTAAGAACATAGTTTTTGTTTTGATTTTTGGGCTGAATATGTAAATGCTGCTTTATAATGTTTTCCCTCTAAAAAGTTGGAAGATGAGAGTATATTGATTGCTGAACTGTTAGACTATGAAATGCCTTCCAGCAACTGTCAAATATGTTCACTTTCCACTTTAAATTTATGATTGTGGAAAAGTGTAGTAGTATGCTTACATAAGCTGAAGGTAAGTCTGCATTACTAAATTGAACACATTCAGAACTTAAAGGTAGATAAGGTTATAAAATTAATAAATAATAAAGCTTTAAACAATAGTAAATAAAACTTTCTGTTCAAATTCAGTAGGAAGTGCATGCAAAACTGCTATAAGACTTTTTTTGAGTAGTAAAATTTTTTTTTCCAAAATGCTTCATCTGTTTTGGGTGAGGTTCCAGCCCCTAAGTGGCTGTGTAAAATGGAAGATCCCGTCTTCCTCATCTGCATGAGCGCTATGCCCAGCTGAACTTGTCTCATAACTGTGACTGTAGCCTCCCTCTGTAGGTAGAGAGGAGATTGAGCGAGGACTATTCGTTCTGGGTGCACTGGAAACTACTGTATGGAAAGGATCCAACACTGAGTGTTGAAGTCTAAGCATGAGGTTTTGTTGCCAATTCAGAGTGTTTCATGCATGCCAAAAAGGCAGGGGCAGATTGGCTCGCAACCTAAATGTTAAATAAGACAGTTCCTTGAGGGCTAGTACTTGACAGCATTTATGATGAATTGTCGATATGTGAAAATCAATTCTGACATGAGTATACAGATCAAGAAAGGGCTGGGGGTTTTTTGTTCAGAAAAGTATTGTTATAAATCGGGAAATTTTTTTCCTCCATAGATGTCCTTGTCTGGAGCAATGAAAGAATGATCCATTGGGTAGTGTCCATTGGTCTTAAAGAATACGCAAATAACCTTCTAGAGAGCGGAGTTCATGGTGCACTTGTGGCCTTAGATGAATCATTTGATTACAATGCATTAGCTCTCTTACTACAAATACCCACTCAAAACACACAGGTAAGCAAGAAGTAGTTACTTTGTAGCCAATAGGATTTTTCTTCCTTCTAGGAAGGTTAAAAATGGAACTGACTGGCTTTTTTGTTAGGCAAGTGTATTCTATTCCTAGATTTAGAAACTTTAGAAATGGAAAGTTGTCCGTTATCCTGTAAGAGAAAAACATAAACTATGCTTTTTCTTACTGTTTTCTAATTATTAATAACAATTCTGGTTGATAAATTTGCTTGAACAAAAAATATTGTTTGAATATTTTCCTCATAGTCCATCTTCACATTAGTGGAAAATCATCATTTTTGTTGTTTGCTAGTTTTTATTCTGAAATAATTGAGTTTGAGCCATATAAATCATGAACTTTCATTTCACAACTAAGGGAAGGGGGAGCTCTTAAGCCTTCCCTAAATCTTTAATAAGTTACAACTTACTTAGTACTTGAAAAGTTACAATTTGTTTGTTAATCTGATAAGGAGGTATTAAACAATTTGTGTTATATAAAGTTTTAAAAATCACTATAGGTTACTAGTTACTAATCTTCTGGAATGAATTTCCATTTCTTTTGTACTATAAACTTCAGGCTCGTGCTGTTCTGGAGAGGGAATTTAATAACCTTCTTGCTATGGGCACTGACAGAAGACTTGATGAAGTAAGTTACTTGAGCTGTTGACCCATTTTATGGTCCTGGGAACTTTATCAGAACTGTCAAGTGAAGGAACTTAGCTTGAACCTCTTTAAGCTATTGACAGAATAGTGACAGAATTCTTAACTTTAAATTCTTTAAGAGTTTCTGAATATGGCAGATTTGTGCATTTAGGTAAGAAGACTTTGAATATGAAAGTATTGAGATGATTTGCAAGGCTGTTTTTTGTAGCTTGCATGGTTAATGTCTAACAGCAGCACTTTGGGCTGAATCTTCTGTCTAAAATGTGGGAAAATTACTGACCAGTGTTGCAGATGAACAAGCTATAATAGAGAAGGCACTGTATAACACATTCCAAACCTTTGTCTTAACAAGCAGTATTTAAAATAATTTCAAGTATTTTTCAAGAAAGCTTGCGTTGTTAACATCTGTTAATACCGATATAATGACCATCAGGTATTTTTGCACATCAAAGCAGTTTCTGTTGGGCAGTCTGTGATCTTACAGTGTATAAACTTAATTCAAATGTAAAGAGTATAAAACTCTTAATAAACTATGTGTGAGACTTCTTTTGTAGACCCTGTGAACCTGTAGCAGAAAGGAGAGTGTTACAGCTTTAACCTTTTAAGTCGCTCTGTGCTGAAACTTGGTGAAGTTTTAAGCAGGTGTAAATTTTCCAAGAGAATCCTAACTGTGCTAGCTCTTCTTTGGTGCTAACGGGAGTTTATGTGGTAGCACACATAGGCGAAGTGGTTCAGATTAAGACGAAGGTGTCAAAACCATAATGTGGTTAACCAGGCTAGGGAACCAGTCCATGATATCTCAAACATTTGCGCTAGTATGAGGAAGAGGACAAGGGAAGGGTGAAAGCGCTGGCTTAAATGGCTTTTGGATCAGTGAGGTGAAGCATACAGCAGTGTGTTGAGGAAGGAGGCCGCTATGATGGACCTTGATTGGGTTTGTGTTCATCTTTTGCCTGATAGACTTGTTGAAGCCCTTTTGTGGTACATCCTGACAGCTCTGTTCTCAGTATGCATCTCTACTAAGGTTTTAATAATGTCATCAGAAAGCAGCTTAATAGTTTTCTAAGTGATTTCAAACGGCCAGAGAAGGACCTTTGAGGTAATGGATGTTTGCTCTGTTCTAGTGGTGCAGGGCAGTTTGTTGATCATGAAGATCTCTTCAAATAACACAGACACTTGTCTCCTAATTCTGAAAGGGCATGGATTTTAGGTAAAATGGCATTCAAGTGACTGAGCTGTTTCTAAAGGTGAAGCTGGAAAATGGAGATGCACAATGGGTATATTTGCATTGACATATGATCTTCATTGCAAAAGACATTTTTTGGAAGTGGGGCTTAAACTATTGTATTTAGTAAGTGCAATGGTGTATTTCTGAAGTGGAATGTCACTTCAAAGATGCAGATATATTAATGGGGGGGGAAAATGCATCTGGGTAATTAGAAGTTTACCCAAGTGCTTAAGCAAAATACTGCATGGCAATATAGTATTTACTACACTTACTTTTTTTTCCCCTCACTATCACTTCCTGTAATTTGTAGCATGCGAAAGCACAATAGCTGTATCATCATTCCTGTAAGACAGAACTGAAGGTTAAAAGCAATTTTTCAAACAGAACTGAAGGTTAAAAGCAATTGTTCAAATTAAGCCTCTGTATGTCGGTGTTCCCAAAGCAGCTTTTATGATCTGCTCCACTCCTCGTAGCCCCTAAGAATGAGTGATGTGACACTTTGTACTTCATGACTTGCAGTAATTCTAACATTCAAAGTACAAAACGTTTTCCTAAATGTGCCGAGCACGTGAATTTCCATAGTTACTGAGCTTGAAGAGCCTACAGTCTAGCAAATGAACACAGATTGTTGCAAATTAAGACCTCTGCTGCTGTTGCACCTGAACCATTCTGAAAATTAACTCATTCGGTGGGGATACGTTTACTTAAGATTGTCAGTAATCCTTTTAATGCCAGTAACAAGCCTACATTTTTGAATTGCTAATGATGTTTATCAATATAACAGGATGATGATAAGAGCTTTAGGAGAGCACCTTCATGGAGAAAGAAGTTTAGACCAAAGGACATAAGAGGTTTAGCTGCTGGATCAGCAGAGACTCTTCCTGCAAATTTCAGAGTTACAACCTCAATGTCTTCACCTTCTATGCAGCCAAAGAAGATGCAGATTGATGGTATTGATTTTGTATTATTTTAAGCATGATGCACTTTTTTGCTTGATATTACAGGGAAATTAAGTCCAAATTACCTTTTTGCTGCATAAAAGCATCTGCCTTGTGCATGGTTGTATATATAACACTGTGTTTAACCATAGGGTGCTTTATAATTTCAGGAAGCTGTAATAGGTGTGGAGTTTTTTTACTTCATTGGAATAACAATGAGAATTGTAGTTAGAAATAAATTTATTTTAAACTAGGAAAATAAAATTACATTTTAGTAGAAGTCTTTTAATCAAGTGATGCATAATATCTAATTAGCAGCAATTAGACCGATGTACATCCCATTTCTGAAATGTAGTAAAATGCATAAAAAATGATGTGATTAAACTCCCTCAGATAATTTTGAGATTATTAAAACTTGAAGAAAAGGTGCATTACCCCCCCTGCAGTGGTCACTTAAGTGTTGATCGTACTTGAAATCACTGTTTTATTCATTGCTGTGTACTTAATCATCTATACATATATGTGTGCATGTGCACATACACACAGATAGGTATTAAAAAAAACCCAAACAAACAAACACAAAAAACCCCAGCTGGAAGTGGATGTTGATCACCTGTCACATGAGGTAACTTGTCTGTTTAAAACACAAAAGTTACCATGAGAATAAACTTTTACTTGCATTTGTTTTGCAAAACACATAAAAACAAATGGAAAATGTGTTTAATTGGAACAGACAGGATGAAAACTTCAGCATAATCTGTCAGAGTTGTCTCAGGTTCTGAAAATTGTATTTATGAGTAAAGCTCAAAGCAGCAACCTTTGTGTCTGATGTTACTCTCTAAAATGCGAGCTGTTTTAAATACTGTCACTAGCACAAAATATTTTCCAGAATTCATGTAGAAAATTCTGTAAATTAAATTAAGTGAAGTCTTTGCCCTGTAAAACCCCTTGCTTTTTACAATATTAAAAAGAAACCAGAAAATAAAAATATATCAACTATATAAAATAGGGAATAGATTACTTAGAAAATTACCTTTGCCAATTTCTGTGTGCTAGTTGGCATGCAGACCTTTTTTAGAACTCTTTTTGTTAGCCACTGAAGCTAGAAGTGCTTAATACATAAACTGTAAAATAAATTCTGCTTTTCTAACTTGTAACCTTAGATTTGGGTGAGTACCGTAGCTGTAATCAAATTGCTGTGAGGTTTGTGGTGTGGGTTGTTTTTTTTTTTTTTGAAAACTAACATGCATGCTGTGTTCTGCATGTCTTCCCATGCTTCTTGAAATAGGCAGTGTATCAGGAACACAAAGATTGGATTCTGCTACAGTAAGGACCTACTCCTGTTAAAGCCTTCTCCTGGTGAGTAAAGTTGATAGGTATGATAGTAAAGCAGCTATTTATGACATAAAATGTCAGGTATTTTAATACAGTGAATTTACACACTTACAAAACTGTTTCAAGCTTTCAGGGTAGATTGTTATATAGAAAATCCAGAGCTTATTTCCTACCATGAAGATAATGAGTGTTTAAATATTTACTTTTGTAAATACTGTATTCTTTTGGGGTGTGTCGGGTTTTTTGGTGGTGGGTTTGTTTTTTTTTTTTTTAAACAGCCTCAAAAAAGACCTGTGCTAAGTAGCTGTGTAGAAGGTGTTAAAATCAATGGCTGGATGAAACAGCTGATGAAAGTGGGGAGGAAGAAATGGAACTAGATTAGGTGTAAAAAGGAAAGAAAATAATTTACTATGTGACACTGCAGATTATTGATCTTCCAGAGTCTTTGCTTGGTCAAAGTTATATACAATATAAATATACAGCATACTTTGGTATTGAATTGTTATGGGGTAATTGCATAGTTTTCCAGTTCTTGGATACTTCGTGCCACTGTGATTGCTCAGGCTGTCTGGCTGGATTTAGCTACCTGCAGTTTAAATTTGAGTAGCTGTGAGCAGTGCTGACAACAAAAGGCAGCTCGATAACGCAAGGGGGTTTAACACAAAATACGTGTATTCTGCTTTATGAAAGATACGTAGTCCTGTCTTACTCCAGGATTTGGAATTATTTTCTTCAGCAGCCTCTGCTGTGTTTCCTCATGGAACAGTATTTCATTTTGCAGACAAGTCTGGAAACTAGATTTTGTTACTATATTGGGTTTAAAAAACCCCCCAAATCCAGTGAATCTTTCTCTCACTAGCTGGTATCTTCCGTGGGCTATAAATTGCCTGTCTCTTCTGCTTACAACTCCTTTCCTTTATTCTCACCAGTAACATCCCTAACCAACTCATGTATTGGCTGCCTTTTCTTCAAATTCTGAACCTTTTTGCATATACAAGTTTAGTTCTAAGGAGTTCTGTATGAAATGTTGAGAAGGGAAACTCTTGCACGTAGCAGCTCGGATCATGTGGATCTGTCAGTTCACAATCTCAGGGACTATCTTAAAATTTCTTTAGTTTCAAGACGTTGAAGTTTTAAGTCTTCCCCTCCCCCAACTTCTCCCCACTGTGTCAGGATTTTCTATAGTCAGATGACCTAGGATTAAAAATCTAGGAAGCAGAAATACTTGACCTCATGTGCTTTACTTTGCATTGCAACTGAAGTTTACAGAAGGCAATAAAATTGTGTACATTGTGGCATGGCAATAATTAGATGCATGACTGCTTGCACTACTGAGCTGTTTGTGACAAATGAAACATTTTTTAAAAAAACTGCTAATGGATTTTTTGTGTTTTTTGTTTGTTTTGTTGTTGTTTTTACAGTTTACCCACACTATTTCTACCGGTGATATGCAGCATTTTGAACATTTGGAACCCTTAACCTGTTAATACTTGTTAAATGGACACTTTGAGATATTTTATTACAGAGTTTTTAATTAGCAAATAAATTCATGAGTACTATAGAGAAAATATTTTAGAATCTAAATGTTTCTTATATTTATGTGACTTCTCATTTATATAGTTACTTACTTTTTCTGTTTCTATTCAGTCTACAAATCAAATCATTGCTGATTTTTTTTATTCTAATTTTAGTCTTTCCAACTGAATGTACTGTAATGCTTGTATGTATATGTCCCTATAAGTAATATAGGGTTTTTGTAAATTATGCGGTTACTGTAATTATCATTTTTTTTTAATAATGAAACCGAAGGTGAAAAGGATTTTAATACCTTTGTAAAAGTATCATGACACCAAGCAGTATATATTTTGTCTTTTGGTAACATTAGCTTAGATCTGAAAACAAGTCCAGCTTTTTTTCAGGTAAGCATACATTGTTGTAGAAGGTATGGTACATGGTCGTTCTTCTCAGAACTGTACCTTTCCACAAAGAGGATTTGTCAAGTAGTGGGAATTTTGTCTTTATTTAAAATATAACTTGTTTTAAAAGCTGGGAGGAACTATAACACTACGGAACATGTTTTAGAAGTGATTGACTCGGTCATAACACTCTCTGCTGTATTTGTATAGCGTATCTTCACGGTGACTGAAAACAAGCCATAAACCAAGAACTGTTTTTACTTTTAAATTTTTTTTTCCTTAACTGAGGAAGATAGACTTCATAATAATTCCTGGTCGTAATCCACAGGCCACAGAGAGTTTTTGTCCTAGATCTTTTTGATTGAGAACACTTGTGGAAAGATGCTGGTGAAGGTAGTTTTAATGGACCAATGATGAAGCACTGCAGCCTCCTGTCAAATGAGTAGTGAAAGATGAAGGTACAATGGGGCTAAAAACGCAAGCAGTGCAACTTCTAATAAAGGCCTTACTTTTCTTATCCAAGTCATTTTGTGTTTTGTAAACTTGTTCTAAAGAGTTGTCTGGACTTTAATTTTGATGGTTGTACCCATTTTGGACTGTATGAGTAGAAAATATATCCGACACTTGTAAATGGCATATTAAAAAGCCAGCAAGAATCTGTTCAGATGGTGCATTATTTATTATGCAACAATATATATAGCATGTCTTTTTTTCTTATTGTTTTCCACTTTTAACTTGCTTGTAAAACTGAAATTCATTGTTACTGTTCTGTTTTTCTATTAATCTTTTGTGTATTTTCAGATTATGTAACAATATGTACAGTCTACTTTTGAACTATTTTTATCACAGTATTATTTATTGCTTTCTTTCAATAAAGTACTGATGCATTTTCCACTGCCAATAAAACACTATTGAAAAGCTAAGATCTAATTGTATGCAGGCAGATACTTTTGCAGTGAGTGGATATTGTCAATAAAGCATCTTAATGATTGTTTGCTGCCCTGTAGATCTTGTTTCAAATGATGACTTTTCTCCAGTAGGAAAATGTTCCGTTAGATGTGACGTTTTTCTTTGGAATTGTTCAAGTTCATGTGCATTAAATCAGTTTTTGAAAACCAGTTTTCAGAAGAAAACTGCTTTATTGCCTACTTCTACTAGTAGTTAGAGCTATGATTTACTTCTTTAAAAAAAAAAAAGTAAACACACAACTTCAGTGTATTCTGGTCCACACGATGAAGACGGAAGTGCTGCTCTATATAGCAGCAACAGTTGCTTTGTTAATAAAATGAGATTATGACCATGGTGGTGTTTCGGGGAGGAACATAGGAGTTGAGGGAACCAATACAAAATTGGGTCACAATAGGGCTGTTTATGTCAATTTTAATATATTGTAAAGCGTTTCTTGTGTAGAAGAGAAGACAGAGAAGGATAAACTTACAGAATAATGGAAGCAGTAGTGAAGCATATTTCATCATGTCCTCTAGATCAACAGCGGGATGTGGCATGCATGGAATGGAGAAATATTGTGACTGATGCTTTAAACGTTGTTCAGTAATGCATCTCTGTTTGTCTAGCTTGTCTATATGAGTTGCTATCTGATCATTTGCAGTCTCTTTTATATTTTCAGAGAATCTTATCTTTCTAGAAAAAGCTAAAATGAAACCGCAGAAGGAGATCCTGACTCGCTGTTCAGCTAAACCTCACTGTTTAGAAAAAAAATTGCATAGCCGTTTCTGGTCACTGCTGTGATAGTAGGTGTTCAAAGTCATGTATTGTTGCTTCTCGAAAGTGAAAACAACGCTGAATAGACTTGTAAAATGTGAAAAGAAAATACATTTATTATTTTAAGGCTGTAAAACCTGAACTGTTATGGAATGATGGAATTGACATGAGAGCTAGAATAAATGAGTGAAATAGAAAATGCTTTCACGAACTGGCAAAACTGTGTGTTGGCTTCCTTCTGAATTATACAGCAAAATTATCTCAGAGAAATCCAGAAAAACACTTCTCACTCAATTTTAATAACCGTCCCCCCGGAAAGAACAACATGCATGTGTAAAAGGCATATGGATGTGTTTGGTTAAATATAACTTTTTGGAAATTGCCAAATGTCTGTAAAGGCTTTAGTTGGCAAGAGTGCTATGAAAGTTAAAGGATGTTTTTTAAAACGTTAGAACCCTTTTTACCTGCAATAAGGAGATGATGGAATTATCTGAGAGAACTTTAAACTTCCAAGGTTTGCGTGTTTAAAGGATGGGGAATCTCAAAACAGATGTTGAAATGTGCTTCATCTTTCTCTTTTCAAACTGATGGAGTGCTAAAAGACAAGAAGTTGCTTTTACAGCATCTTATGGACAGCAGTGATTTATCATGCCAAATCTAGGAGCAGAGCACATGTGAAGTAGTTCAGAGCAGAATATATGCTTGGAACTACATAGACTAAAGATTTTTTTGGGGGAGGGGGTGTACCACAAAATTAATTTTCATGTAAATAAAAATGGATGCAATGAAGAGTTATTTACATAGACTAAAGATTTTTTTGGGGGAGGGGGTGTCCCACAAAATTAATTTTCATGTAAATGGATGCAATGAAGAGTTATTTGAGGGGTGATTTTTTTTTTGTTGAAACTGAAGAGTTACTTTGCCTTTAAAAGGAAAGTGTTTCTTCACTTGATAGTTTTCAGGGTTGTGGGTTTGATGCACTGCTTAAACTCATGTTCTAAATTTCATTAATGTCTTTTTTTAAATAATTTTTGAAAAAAAAAAAAAAGGCAATTGTCTAAGTAGCAGCACCTTGTGGTTTTATATGGTGTTTAGAAATGGATGGTTGGAAACTGATATATAAACGGGGTTGGTCTTCCTACCTGTAAACAGAAGGACGGGTAAAGACCCTCCAGAGGGCACAGCAATGGCCCCAGAAGTAATGCCACAAGGATCAAGGTTCTCCGAGCCTGCTTTCTCCTCTAGCAAGCAGCTTTTTAAGTGTAAGTTTAGCCCAATTTTTAAAATATGCGATATTAATTATAGGGTAAATTACCCTATAATGTTTAATACAGGAAAAAAATTGAGCCTATTTTTACTGTGAACCAACTACATTTGGCTTTAAATGACCGGAGGTAGCTGTCCCATTAAGACTGGGGATTTGTAAGTCGCGTTCTTCCCTCTAAAGCTTGTGGAAGTGTTCACCTGGGTTTGTTTATCCTGCCCTTAATTACAGTTGGGATGCGTACCTTTATTTGTAATGTTTGTCCCCAGTCTGTTTCCCCTCCTCCCAAAGATGCAAGCAAATAACGCTGGAAGTACTAAGGCTGCCTTTAAAAACCCGATTGTTTTCCTTTTGGCGTCTGTTTAATGCAGATACCCTGTGAAACAGGCACATGGGAACCCTTTACCCCCGGGTAAGAGACGGAAGCCCCTCAAGACGACGTAGTTGCAATGGTGCGAAGGTGAGTATTATTGTGTGTGTAAAAGGAAAAAAGTGCGTTCAGAACTCTCTGCTGTAGCCCTTTTAAACTCCTGACGGTGCATTTGTGAGGTCGTAGTGCTTGGTCATCTCATTTTCCCAGCGAGCAGCTGCAGTGTAAGAGCTAAACACCGCAGTACCGACCTCAACCCGTCCGTTCTTTCCAGTTGCAATGGTGCGAAGGTGAGTATTATTGTGTGTGTAAAAGGAAAAAAGTGCGTTCAGAACTCTCTGCTGTAGCCCTTTTAAACTCCTGACGGTGCATTTGTGAGGTCGTAGTGCTTGGTCATCTCATTTTCCCAGCGAGCAGCTGCAGTGTAAGAGCTAAACACCGCAGTACCGACCTCAACCCGTCCGTTCTTTCCCCTTTTATTTTTCCGAAGGACGAGGGGCAGCACAGCACCCCCAGCGCCTGCCTCCCTCCCCGGCAGCCCAG